ATTTTTTTAATTAAGGTATGTACATTGTTTTTTTAGACATAATGCTATTGCACACTTAATAGACTACAGTATAGTATAAACATAACTTTTATATGCACTGGGAAACCAAAAAATTTGCGCAACTCGCTTTATTGCGATATTTGCTTTATTGCGGTGGTCTGGAACCAAACCCGCAATATCTCCGAGGTATGCCTGTACAGAATCTGGAGTTGTGGATATGGTCACTGGCAGCGGGAGGCCAAGTAACGGCTGACAGAGCCCTAGTTGCTCTCTGCATGCTTTGTATATTGCTACTGCTGTGGCCCTACCTCCTCAGGTGCTGGCCCTGCCACCTGCCCAAATGCCAGAGCTGCCTGCATCAGAGCTGGAGCTGTTGTCACTATATGCCTCAAGCTGAAGCCACCCCATGCCCCAGGCTGGATCCAGCTCAGAGAGCCCCACAGTCCAGATCTGGCCCTAGGGCAAAGTGAGTGCGACAGTCTGAACTAGCTAAGTGACTTCTCTGCCCCAGGACAAGAATAATGTCCAATTTTATACACAGAGAAATAGAATAAGGTTATGCAAGTTAACCAAGGGACCGTTACAAGACTAGAGGGCCTTATATATACTTTTTGTTAACCTGGTGCCTTTTTGTTAAAAGGATATGTTAAATTAAATGAAAATTAAGACGCTCTAATGCCAAAATACCAATACTGTACACTTAAGGCAGGAAGGATCCTACCCCCCCATGTTAACTAGCAAACAGGTTGGACAAGCAGACAGGAAGAAGGGAAAAAGAAAAAAACATTTTTATTTTTATGATTGAGAGATTTTCCTCCTCTTCTTCCCATCACATTTGAAGACTTTAAAGTGCTTATTCTAAATAATATACAGAGACTTTATTTGCACTAGAGAGTATTATAAATATATCATGCATTCATTAACAAAATATACAAAGCCAACAGAAACATACCTTGAATTTTAGCATTTTTTTAACCTAAAAAAATATATATATATAAAATAAATCACCAGGCTACAAGAGAAGAGCTTAGATTTGTAATGGTAAAAGTAACCCAAGCATTTGGCTGTGGGTAAAACTAAAGAGCCTTTGAAATACTGACATTTATAACTGCAACAAATCCATTTATTACAAATACTTTAGTGTTTTATTATGTGAAGCAGCTCAAATGGAAAAATAAAAAGTGTAAAGGTACATAAAACAGGAAGAACTGCTTGCTGGGCAATCCTAGTCAAATAAGATGCCTCCTTGGCAGAATGGTTTGCCAGATATTACAGGTCATCCTCCTTATTCTTCTGTCAGTGAAAGCAACAGTGCTTAGGGACAGGTTTTGCATAGGCTGGGACAAGTGCTGTATGTAATAGAGAAGTGTTAAGACAAATAAAATTTGCCAAGTAATGGAATTATCTAAATCTGGTTCAACGCAGAGAAAAGTATACTGGGAAGGAGTATTTTCTGTAAAATATTAAAAAACCTATTTAAACAGCATGTTGTCTTGCACTTCTATAAAAAAATTAAAACAAAACTGTATTATACCATTAAAGTAATTGAAGAAAATATGCATCTTTTAAAGGACTACATTACAGATTTTTTCAGTTTATTTTACAGTTAATGATCATTTAATCAATCACAATACTGATACAGACTTAGCAAAACCCTGTCAAAATAGCAACACCTTACCTTTGAACCTGCAGTGATCAGGATTTAATACATTTTAATTATCAGTGGTTTTAATTGTGCTGCAATTGGTGAATTTTTCTCCTCAACTAATGCAGCCAACACTACTGCCAGATCCAGGTTCCAAGGTATGATCTGCTGGCATGCCACTGCAGAGTAGTATATGTTAATGGTTTTTTGAGGATTACAGGAATCAAACCCTGACCTTGCTACGTGTTTAAAAAAGGAATTTTCCAGCTGTATCAAATACTATCCAAACCAAAATGGCACCCACGAAAGAAAGTGGGCCAGATCTCCAGAAATATATTGATAGCCTGGTCCATGATGGGAGACTGAACAGTTGATGCTCCTGGAGTTTACTGCCTTTTTGTACACAAACTTAACTAAAATCCCACCTCTGATGCTCCCTCCCTCATTCCCAATTATTACTCGAGTTCACCTTCCTCCACCCCAGTACAGGCTTTTACACATTCCAGTTTTCTCTATAATATCAAACAATCAAAAGGTTTGCACTGCAATAATTTAGAGAAAACAACAGTCAAACCTTCACTCTGCAGAGAGTCCCAAGGATTCTTAAGAAGGTATGTATAGCCTTATATTCCATTTTTAGCAATATTTTATATGGGCTGTATTTTTGCTGAAGATAAATCTTGTACAATCATTACTAGCAATACGCAAGAGCTGCTGGTGAATTAGTGTCATAGTTCATTCCACTGCATTATTTTAATGCATTAAGTTTAAATTAACATTAGGTTTCAGCATTTGAAAAAAAAAATCTGTCATTGTTTGTCTTGTTGTGAACATTTTTTAAAGAAGTGTTTAGTATGCTTTTTATGTATGTATATAGTCTATCGTTACAGTACCATCATGCATTAGAAAAAAAATTAATTACTTAAACTGTCACTACAAGTGACATTCTGCTAGCTGTGGACAAGTCTAACAGATAAGGCGAGATTTTACAGCAATGTCTGGCTTCTCTCCCTATGCTTGTTCACATTATGGTCAACATCATAAAGCTTCCACCTGTTTAAAAGTATCTTGCACACAATAAAAAAGGGGAAGTTCTCATTTGTCCTGAAATTTAAAATCATTCTACTTGACTCCCAGGTACAAAGGGATTTAGTATCAAATCAGACTTTAAAACTTTTCTCCTACCTATCTGGTGTCTAAAGTAAAGTTAAAATTCTGGTCTGGTTCATAGAACTGCTGTGACAAGTGCTGCATTTAAGATTTCAGTGAAGGAATCAACAAGCATATGACAAATTAAAACTTAAATGCTTCTACCCAAACAGCCCCAAAACAGAAGGAAACTGAGGAATAGCCTGCTGCTGCTGTGGTGTTTAATAAGAGTCTGCTCAAGGACAGCTGCTTCTGCCACCATGAAGATTCAGTATCTGCTGCCATACCAGTCACTGTTATTGATCTGCAGCAATTCAGTTACTACTTGCACCATGTTATAGTTGTGTTTCTTCAGCAGTCTCAGATTTAGCTGCCTGTCACAGAATCCCATCTCACACAGATTGGCTAAGAGAGTGGCAGTCTGCTCTTCTGTAGCTGTAGGCTGCTTAAAAAAAAAAAGAGAGAGGAGAGAGAGAAAGAACACTTTTTCAATTCAAAATACTTTAACTGATTTTAAAATTTCCTGGCTCAGGACAACTCAGAACATTGACAGTGCCCTCCTAATTTATCTGTGACAGATTATGGTGTTCTTGATGTCTTTAGACTACAGTAGGTATATGACAGCATTGTCTCTGCAGTGTAATGAATAGGTTAGACCAGTGATTCTCAACCAGGGTGAAGTGTTAGGAGATAAACAGCTAAACTAAGCAGATAAGAGCAGGCTCAGGCTTGCTGCTGCCTAGATGATTCTCCCATCCCAAATGCCAGGCCCCTCTGCAAGGAAGTAAGTACAGTAACCTATAAATTAGGTATTTGAAATTCAATGCCAATAAATTCACAAGAGATAAGGAAGAGTACCTAAGGTCCAAAAAGGTTGAGAACCACTGGGCTACACAAACACTTGTATGTGACAGTTTGGGTAGGGATATTCCTGCCTTGAGTAGGGGGTTGGATTAGGTGACCTCATGAGGTCCCTTTCAGCCCTACTTTTCTATTATTCTAGCTAAAAGGGCTTTGTTGGCCTAGCTTAGTGTTTTTCAACCAGGGTACTACAAAACCCTTTCAAGGGTGTCACATGCTTCCTAGAGAACCAAATCAGGAAATGGGTATGGCAAGAGTGCCCACTCTTACTGCAGTCCTTCCCAGTCTGACCCCATACACTGTCTCCTGGAAAGGGGTACATGGGACAGATAACAGGCACTCTTACTATAACTATTTCCTGATCTGGTTCTGCAGGAGACATGTGGTACATTTCCACATGGCTGCAGTGGTAGAAACAGCACCCAAATTAAGAACCACAAATTTAGGTAGCTTGGGGGATGGAGAGGTATCCTGTCACTTATTCTGCCCTTTTAATATTTTTTAAAACAGAGTCCTCTATGGGAGAAACCCATTATATGAAGAGTTTGGTTATTGGTGTGTGCAATCACTTTACCACAAAATGCTTTTGATTAGAGTGCTTGAGAACAATAAAATATCTACATGACATTGGCTAGGACAGGCAATGCAGCTTTGAAATTTCAGTGTAAAATCTATAGCTATATAATTTATAAACATGATCCTATGTTTTACAAATTCTTTTTAGTAATAACACAGAGCCTCAGAGCCCTACTGTAAAACAATATAAAAAATGCTGCCTCTGGTTTCAAAGGTGCTGTGATGTATGCCTTTGGACTTGGGCTGGTAACTGAATGAAACTGTATAGGACCTGACTCAGCATTACAGTGGTTCTCAATTGTAGCATTGTCAAATTCAGAAAAAGTTACAGGAGGTGACCTGACTAGAAAGAACCACTGGCACAACTGAACTAATACAGACAGATCAGCAGACCTCCTTAGCAGAGATGCAGCTTCTAGTAGAAAAGCTTTTGGGAGTATAAGTTGCATCTATAGCTACAGTGCTCAACCTCAGGCCAACAGCGCTCTGTAAGCCACAACAATTAAATACTGCCACAGCTCCCCCACTGCAAAATTTCCCAACCTGTGCACAGCCTGCAGATCTGATGACAGATCTGCAGGCTGATGACATGGGGTTGGGAGAGCTCACAAGGCTGGCCCAGCATCCTACCAGAGGGCCTAGAAGGTTGAGGACCACTGGTCTACCCAGTAATGGAATACATGCCAACATAACTTTATCAAATAAGGGTATGATATTCTTTCCACACCCCCACTCCACCCTCATTGTTATGCTGACAAGGCTGAAAATTGCTATGCTGACCAGGCTGAAAAATGTGATAATTTTTAAAATGCATCTCCAAGGATCGCAATGTCTCCAAGGAGAGGCCTGTGTACTACCAATGACCCTAAGCAATGCCACCTGGAGTTCTGAACTCCTGGTAAGATCACCCATAGCAGCAAGGTCAAAAGCAAGGTTTCCAGACTAACAGTGACCCAAAAATAAAAATAACTTAAAAGGGTCTTCAATCATAGAACAGGCAAATGAAGCAAGAATACTTCACAGTGACTGCAAAGGTGGAAGAAGGCTGTAGTGGAACAGAAACCTCCAGTTGTCTAGATTTTCCTTGCTATCAGATTAAGGTTTCCTTTTCTATAAGGAAAGTATCATATGGTTGCTGATGTGCAACAAACAGCATCCCTATCTTAAAATGAAGACTGTGCAGGAATCTCCTTTCAATAGCAAGTCCTATGGTGATGGATGAGCAGCAATGGGGGCTAGCGATTACTTGAAACCCCTAGTCAGACATACACAGATGATGACTGTATGATAGCTGTTTTTGTACTTGGAACTGAGATACGTATACAATTTGGCAGCTGCGATCATGACTGAACAGGCCTATTTAGGATCCACTCTGCTCACTCTGTATTGGGAGAGGGCTAGAAAAGGTGCCCTAAAGCAGTCTGTCAGTCATTTCACCTGACTGGAAAAATGCATCCAGTAGGATCACTATCTGCAGTCCAAATCAAATAATGAAGTTTGCAACCTAGAACATCCACACCCCAATAGACAACCCTAACAGTGATCAACTGGAGCAAAGAATAGCACCTGTGGCCAGAGACTTGCATGATTTGATACTGACACTGCTATATTTAGTGAGACCATGATGTGCAGGAGTGGAACAGCTGACAGAACGTGGCAATGGGTACACCATTTTTTTTGTAATGGAAAGGCTGAAAGACAGATACATCCATAGCACTGGTTCTGCTTTCAAGACCAAGATTGTTACTCAGTGAGCAGCTCGGGGCCATTCGTCTTCAACTGACCAACAGACAATATGCAACAGTCACCATCACATACACCCCAACTTGTGATGAAGACGAAACAAAAGAAGAACACTATTCTAAACCTGACCAAGATCTATCATCTGTTCCAAAAATGGATAATTTTTTCTTGGTGATTTCAATGCTAGTGTGGACAAAGACTGAGCTACAGAATGGAACACTTGGAGAGGAAGGCGTGGAAAAGGTCAATTCAAATAGAATTTTTCTCCTGAGCAAGCGTTTGGATCATGATCTCATCACAAATGCCTCAGTCCACCAAAACAACAAGTGAAAGACATCACAGATACTGGTTATGTCATAGTACATGCCCAGAATTTCCATAACGTCCATATCACCAGAAATACGAGCAGCACAGAGGACAGACGGCTGGATGGATCATCGTTTAATATGTTCCATCATGTGCATTCATGCTATCCCAAAATGACAAACAAAAGCAGCAGCCAAGGAAGAATTTGAGTATTGAGTGCCTGAAAGACCCTGCTAAAAGTGAGAGTCTACAGCAATGCCTCAGTGACAAACTCTGGCCTTGCTGATGATCTTGACACCTTTGATCACTGGAAAGACAAGGTGTGTGAAGACTGTAATTTAATGAGGATAGGGAAAGTCAAGGTTTCTTTGACACAAAAATGAGCATCTTCAAAGCATGGCAGAAAGACATCAACTCCAAGCAAAAGTAAAACATTTATCACATTAAAGTCTAGACCCAAAGGAAAAATTCAGGAGTGAAAGAACAAGAGATGGGAGGAGAAAACACAAGAAATCCAAGAAGTTTGCTGACAGCTATGACATGCAGAGTTTCTTCAGCACAACCAAAGCTATCTATGGGCCAAGCACACAAAGAGCTGTCCCTCTGAGGTCCAAGAATGGAACACAGTCTTTACAAAGCAGCTTTAAAAAGGCAACAGTCTTTAAACAGGCAGCACGATCAATGAAGGTTGAAGGAGCACTTTCAAGAGTTCCTGAACCGAGATTCTAATGTTGAAGACAATATCAAAGCCATTCCACAATGCCTCATTAAGGACTACACCTTTCAGATCCATTCACTTCTGAAGAGACTTTGAAAGCCATTAAGAAGATTAAGAATAAAACATTGTGGTCCTGATGGAATACTAACTGAAACTGATAAGCAAGGTGGAAAAAAGCTCTCACCCCAACTATATGTTATTAGGAAAAAACGGAAACATGAATAGATTCTCAGTAAACTTGAGACATGCTAGAACTGTTACCATATTCAAGAAGAGCACAGATTGGATTACAGCAATTATTGTGGTACGGCACTCCTGTCTATAGCTGGGAAGATCCTTGCCTGCATTCTCCTTAATAGATTCATTTTCCAGTCTGTTGAGATTCTATTCAAGTGCCATTGTAGTTTTATACCTCTCAAAGATGCAATGGATCTGATTTTTGTTGCTACAAAAAGTGCCATGAGCAACACTGAAATCTTTACATGGCCTTTATTGACTTAAGACTTTTGATTCAATCAACAGAAAGGCCCCAATGAGATCTGGATGCCCACCAAAATTTGCTACTATTAATTCAGACTTCTTCACAACATGACAGAAACTGTTCTAAGCAATGGCTGGGAAACAGATCCCTTCACTATTTGAACTGGAGTCTAATCATCTGCTAAGATTACTTGTCTTTCCAAAAGATGTAAACAATGAAGTGGTGACTAAAGCTGCAGTTGAAAAGAGTTACCATTTAGTATTTTGCTGCTACAAAAGTAAGAGTTTTTGCATTGAAAATGAACCCTATGCAGAATTTTAACAAATTCACAGATTTCACAGTATTTTTAATTTTGAGGCAGAGACTTGCCTGTTCTACAATGGGTGGTCCAGCAAACAGTGCTTTATAGGCAGAAGCAGCAACGGACAAAGCCCCTTTAACAAGCCCTCCTGCAATGCTGTTTCCCTGGGGATGTCTGTGGAAAAAATGTATTTGGTGTCAGTCAAGCATGCATTTCACCCAATCGGTAGATATGAAATGTTTTAGTAATAAAATGGAGAAAGATATGGCATTATGCAAAGAAAATAAATAGTTCTGAAGTTCAGCCTATTTCTATCAAGAACATGTTTTTATGAAAATTCATTTAACTTTTCCAAAACTAACCTTCCCAAAATGTAACTACTATATGCAGAGCGGTCAGTGTACCCACCCAGAGAGATCTGTAAGAGTTATATGTAGATATACGGCAGCACATAGTGCTGCCTATATCAAAACACCTTCAAAAGAACTCCCAGACTGACCAATATTTCTGGTCTGTACTGGTTCTCTTTTACTCAAACTATTCTACCCAACAAAATGCCTGTATTGCATTTAGACTGTGCCACTCTTGCTCCTAAGCAGAGCATATTCATTCTCACCAGGTCTTATTTTAAATCTTTAAGGTCTAGTGGTCTTTACCAAACTCTTAGGAAACAAACTGGATTTTCAAGAGAATTCAGCTCCAATAGAAGCACATAAGCAAGAGAGCAAGATTCAGTTCTCAGCAACTCTGGACCCTTAAATTTAAATATTTAAGTATTAACTATTTTGAAAGCCTAGTCCTAAATTAGTGATCAAAAATTGCCAAAACATGGACAGAACTTTGATAATACATGTTGTTTCACCTCCGTCTCCACAGGCTACAAAGAGAGCTTAAAATTTTTTTTAAAAAAAAAAAAGCAGTCCCCTTTTGTACTTGCTCAAATGAATGAAGCAGTTCTTAGCTCAAAAGGAAGTCAAGGCACACTTTTAAAACCATGATGAATCTCTGTTTCATTACCTTGAGTATTCTGGGAACTTTGATTTATTATTTATGTTTTCTGAAGGCTCCGTTTCAAGAAAATCTTCAGTTCTGGGCTCTAGAAGAGAAATCAAAAACAAGTGAACAGGTGCATCTAATAGTCATGCTAGAGAGATGCAGTAGGTGAAGGTGAATAGAAATGAGTAAACAACATTCCTAGAGTTCATATGCAACTAGTATACGTGTTCGTAAGCACCATGAAACAGCCTCTCCTGAAGTTTAACGTACAGAAAACAAAAGTCAAGATACCCAGTAAATGGTAATACAGCTATATAGATCATAATCAAAGGAGAATGAAAGCAGTGAATGCAGACTTACAGTTAAGTCTCTTAGGAACAAAACAAGTCACATATTCAACCAGCCTTATTAGTCCTACTATATAGAATTAGGTGCTCTAGGAGTCTATATTCTAATTCACCTTCACATGCCTAAATCACACTTGTGTATCCATGTAACAGCAATTTTTGGCATTTATCCAGAGGCTGGATTCCACTAGCACCAATGTGGTGGTGGCTGGGAAAGAGAAGGGTAGCCTTTTCACCTTTTAAGCCAAACTACTGGCAAGGACAGCTGGGCACTACATGTTGTATTTAACATTCATCAATTAAAAAAATAGAGAAGCAGCCCTGGGAAAGTTTCTAACTCACTGGAAACAGAGGCCCAAGCTGGAACCCAAGGCCTTCTTTCTAGGACAATGTCCACTTCACTAAGCCATCCCTTCCTTCCTTCTTGGGCCCACATACCTTCTCCTTGTGGCTGCCCAGTAGGCCTGCTTCAGGAACAAGTGCCATCACTACCAGACTGTACAAAAAATAGGATGGTATTCCTCCTTTGGTATCAGAACACTTACTAGTCAGTTTGAGGTTTGTTTTTTTTAAATGACTTTTCAGAATTTACCAGCATTCCACATATGGCTGGCTAATTCAGTTTCCTTTGGCACATACACAGTCAGTGGTGCAGACTACTGGACACGTTCAAGAAAGGAACTCATTCTGGGCAGGGGGTCAGACTCGATGATCTAATAGGTCCCTTCTGACCCCAACATCTATGAAACTATGAAATGCAGGGCAAGCATAGTTAGGAGGAATCCAAATTGCACCTGAAGTGCCAAAAATGCAGTTATGCAAGTGCCACACAAGTTTACAAAATTGTTAAAGCTTCTTATGATCTCTAAGGCCCTAAAAAAAATTCTAGCCCTCACTACAGCTGACTTTGTGCAGTCTTACCTCAGTGCCTTACACCCTTTCTGCTCACCCAGCTTAGCCAAGCTCAAGGCTTCATTTGCCACTTTCTCCTAAAGTCTTCTTCACATCTTCCATTCTACTCTTTGCAAATAGATTTTGTTTTGAGGTGATGCACCAAACCATTATACTTCTGCTTAAGTCCCTCCCCTCAGGCACACTTCTTTGCTCAGCATTTCAGGCACATTTCTGTGCTAAACAAGAAGATAGCCATTAGCTTTATAAGATTTATATATAAATGACCTGTCTGCTTTTCAAAGTGCCATTCTGCTTGTGAGCTAGAATATTGCCTTCCTGCCTTTTCTTTGTAAAAAATATTTAAAGTTTTTGGAGCAGATTACTTTTAACAAGTACCATTAACTACATGGACTAATCTTTAGCATTTGGTACTTGGTTTAGCACTCTATTTTTTCCTATGACAGTGGTTTCCAAAATTTGCTGTGTGTAAGAAATGGAAGAAGCAATCTCATATGGAAGTTACTGCTTATACCAGTAAATACCTTCTCTTATTTGGTCAACAGCAGTTGAAATGATTTCTTCAGCAGCTGACAAGCTTGGCTCTTGAATGTTGTGAATCTGAAGAGAGGATAGATCCCTGTGGAAGGGGCGGGGTTGGGGAAGGAAGAAAAACCCTATAAAAATAAAAACAAAAACCAAACAAAACCATCCCTTCCCTCTCCTCATCTCCAACTTCTGCTTGTTAATCATCACAGGCTTTCAAGGAAGTACTCAACTGAGGATATCACTGGGGTATTCATACCAAAATGCTTGCTTTTTAAAATCTTTATGGCACAGTTGCAAACCATGTCAGTTTGCACCCAGGGCTCAGTTCCACTGGCCAGGACCTTCCACAGAACGCTTCAACTCACGTGAATACAATTTAACATAATTTGGTTCACATCACAAACAGATTTCTCCCTTTATACCTTTGCTGTTGAGGTACAGTGCCGACCACTTCTGGAGTCAATGGTACTGTGTCCAGGGTCTGTGAAGTTGTTAAAATATCATTGATATTTTGGACCTGTAGCTGGCCTTCACCTTCAGGAACCAGAACCTCCATATCAGTCTCTACTGCTTTTTCCATACTGGGCTGAGAGAGAGCAGAGCTGTACATAGACTCCCCTAGTGGACGACTGGTATCAAAGCACTCAGGAAGGATGATGATATAATCCTCTGAAGCAGAAGACCCCTGGCTTTGAACTTCATCTTTCACATCCTCCTCTTCATCCTCACAATCATTGGTTTCCTCACTGATATCTGACCCTTCAGATATGGCACATTTCTCTAATAGAGAAAAAAAAAATACGCATCTAAAATTTTGCCATTAACTCTGGATGACCTGCCTGCCAAAGTTAGCTTTCATCTACAAAGTCAAGAGAGAAACAAGTACAGGATATCATCCAATTTTACCACATGTGCACAAGAGAATAAACATGCCAGATTATCAACTGACAAGAAAAACTACCTTGTTTGGAATACTCCATGGCAGTGGTCCCCAACCAATGGATTGGGGAGCCTCTTTCGATAGGGGAGTCTTTTTGACCTTTTAATCCGGGCGCCTCTTTTAGTTGATTCTGGGCTGGGGGCATGCGCCTAGCCCCACCAGCCTAGCTGGTCAGTATAGGGGAGGGAAGGGGTGAAGGCCAGATCGAGAATCCCGTGGTGAGGGAGGGAGTAGGGTTAGGGCTGGGGCCTTGATCTGCTCAAAACAGCCCTTTCTCTTCCCCCTTCCCCCAAAGACTTACCTCCTGGGGGGGGAGGGGGAGGGCAAATATTTTTTTCTCCCTCTGCCTCAGTCTGCTCCTCCCATCCCTCCTTACCTGCTGGGCACACCGGGGGGGAGAGAATGGGACTGCAGTACATCTTGGGTTGCTTTTAAAATTCCAGAATTGATCTTCTACTTTAAAAGGTTAGAGACCACTGCTGTACAACTTGGGAATGAATGTGCCACTTTGTCCTTGCTGCTTGCCTAGCATCCTGTATGTAGATGTGGCTCTGTTTACAGCAGAGGCAGGCAAAATACAGCTCATGGGCCACATCCATCCCACCAGACTTTCATCCAATCCATGGTGTCCATCAACAAATTGTACTCTGCCCAGTCCTTCTACCTATAAGGGTGACAGGGAGATGCCCAGGTACATACCCCCACCCCCAACATACCCTATTGCGCCTTGCTTCTACCCTTAAGGGAAGAGGGGCCCAACCAGCACGCAGTTTCTGGGCGGGGCTGCTGTTGCCACCAGGGCCCTGCTCTGATTCCCCAGTGTCCCACTGGCTCCGGGCAGCAGGCAGGGAAAGTGGCAGGGGCAGAGTTGTGGGGGGAAGCAGAGTTGCAGCTGGGTCAGAGCGTGGAGCCTGTGTCCAGGGGGGAGGTGGCAGCACAGAGCTCGGGTGGGCAATGTGTAGTGGGTGTGAGGGAGGGTGGAGGGGGGGCATGGGGACCCCCCCCACATTCCATCCATGGCAAGCAGCCCAGGCAGGCAGACAGCAGCACCAACAGGAGCAGGCAGGGGCGCTCAGGGTACTTGTGTGTGGCTTTGGCCAGCACCAAACATCGCAGTGAGTAACAGCCCCCGCCAGGCAGTTTCTGTCACAGACGCTCCCCACTGCATACACGCAGCCCCTGCACATGTGGGTCACAGGAGGGAAGCCCCATGTGCTGAAGCTAGCTGGGGCAGTGAAGGCAGACAGCTCCAGCACATGGGACTTCCCTCCCCTGCCGCACAGGTGTGGGTACTGAGCATGCCCACTAGAGAGACCACCTGGCAGGGGCTGCAAAATGTGCAGCACTGGCCCTTCCAGGTAGCAGCACCAGCTACGAGCGCCCCAGTCTGCTTCTGTAGCATGGGGTGCACATGGGGGTCCCCACACCCCCGACCCAGCACTCAACCCTGCATACCCTGTGCCCTCACTCACAGCCACACCCCTCAACCCCCCCCACACAATATACAAGAATAAAAATATATTTGAGTTATTATGCAATCACCTCTACATACAGCAGACAAACAAATCATGACAAATGTTTTGTAATAAAATTAAAATATGTTATATTAGATGTTTGACTTTTAGTGTATGATTTCATTTATTTCTGGTTTTCAGATGGCAACCCCCACTCTCAAAAAGGAGTATTTCCAGGGGCAAGGAGAGGGACTTCCAGTGGCAAAGGTCAGGGGTTAGGGGTGGAATTTCCATGCTCAAGATGGTGACCAGGGAGTGGGGCAACTGTCAAGGGGCAGGACTATCTATGCAGTCCTCGAAAGCTCACCACACCTCATTAAAGCAGCCCTCCATCTGAAATAAATTGCCTGCCCCTGGTTTATAAGTGAACCTTGAGGGGCAGAGGTGACAAACTAATACTCCTAGGTACTACAAAGAGGAAAGCCATCCCAAAAAGTGACTGGAGTTAGTATAACTTCAAGGTAACAAAGATCAAATAGAGCCTGCAACTCACTCTTCAGGGTTTAAAAAAAAAAAGCACCTTAGCCCAGAGGAAAAAAAAGCGAGGAGATACAGGAATTAGATAGATGATATTATATATAGATAACCTCAAAACACAAACCAGGCGCACTCACTACAGCAAGGACTCAATAACTAATCCCATTTTCAAATTTAAGACCAACCTGTATCTTGACACAATTCTCAGCTGCTCACACAAAGCCAAGATGTGCTGCCTTCTAGATGGGTGCATCAACATGAGCACCAGCTCTACCCAGTGCAGACAACAACTTGAACAGGGAATTCAAGTGTTCACTAATACCACTCCTCACACCTCTCATCTTGGTTTCATTATTAAAGACACAAATTGGTTTCAGATATTTGTTCAGAACAACAGTACAGATTTATTAATGACACACTGACTTTTTGATGATGCTGATCAACTTCCACACAACTCTATAAAAATTTTGGACCAGCATTCATCCCAAATCTCTTGCCATACCTACATTCATAGTCCTTCTCACAGAATTCATCATGGGCTTAGTTACTGAGACAGAAATCTGACCCCCAACCTTCACTCACCAAACTCATTTCCTTCTATTGCCTCTGTCTGATAGCTCTTTGTTTGCTGGGGTTTGGAAGTGGGACTACTTTTTTTCCTAACAGGTTCTTCATTTTTGACACTGTAACTGAAGGCTTCTTGTAGCATTTGCAGAGAGTCTAATAAAAGAAACAGGACAATTGAAAGTTCATAGCAATCTTCAGTGTGAGGCATTTTGCTACCAATGCTCAGCCGCACAACATTAAAGCCCCAGAAGCCAGAATAAAGTACTCACTCTGCAGAGATTTCTTCCTTTGTAGGGGCTGATGGTCAGGTGCAGCGTCCAGTGTGAGGGAGCGAATAACAGTTTCACAGACAAACTGAGTCCCACTCATATCTTCCTCCCCCTCCTCCTGGTTCACTGGATGTTCAGCTTTCAGTTTCATGTGAGCATCTGCAGGACAGCAGATTTCAGTGACAACTATGCAA